AAGGTGACTCGATATATCATAGATATTTTACTACTTACATTTGCAGTTTGTTTCCATACTTGTGTCTTGTCCACTCTATCAAAACACAGTCTGCAATTCAATACAGTCTAGCCAAAAAGTTCCAGTTTTTTTTGTCACATAACCACAGCTGAGTCACTAACAGCTCTGTGGTTTGCAAAAGGAAGTGCAGAGATTTTACTTACATATATATACACACACACATACATACACACACACACACACGCACACACACACACACACACATATATAACAATATTATATATATATAATTTATTGAATTTTTTTTAACATACTAAATTAGTTTACAGAATGCGTTTCCAGCAAACAATTTATTTTTGGTGAATTTATAGATGAGGGTTGTAGAATAAGTCATTTTAATAACACACTACAGTTTTAAGCTTAGATTTGGTGAGGTTTCCTGACTGAATGGTAAAACGCAGATTATTTGTTTAAGGACCTTCATAAAGTTAAAAATCTAATGGCTCTTTCTGTCTTGATAGTTGTTTTTTTAAATCTCTGATACATGGAGTAATGCTGGCAATTTTTAAAAAAAATAAACAAAATTAAAAAAAGAAAAAAAAAGAACATACCTTTCAAACCCGCAGGCAGGCTATAGGGTTAATACTACAGTTTAATACTCAACATATAAACTTTTTTGTTTTACTTTTGTTTTTGTAATGAACTGCATATAATATATAATATATTAATTGACTGCAACTGAATGTAATTTAGTGGAAGCCTTAGATTTTTTATATTAAAAAAAAAAAAAAAAAAGATTCAGAGGATTAATTGTTTTTTAAAAAAATAGTATCATATTTATTTTTCAATTAAATGACTGACATTAAAGCTCAGCCCAATCCCAACAAGAAATCAGTCAGCATGAACTTAGTCACAGGCTGCTGAAACAATGTACAAATTGATTTCAGGCCCAACTAACAAATATATTCCTCTAAGCTTCAGGGCATGCTCATGTTTGTTTGGACAATGATCAGTCTCTAAAGAAATGTTTATGTCCTGTTTTCCATCTTTACCAGCAACAGCTTTACCATTAGGGCCTGAATTACTTATTAATAGGATTTGGATGAGATCAGAATGACAAGATTTAAACCAAGACAGCCATCCCTTTAAACTCTGTAGTCTTCAATACTGTATGGATACTACTCATTATTTTTCTCCACAACACTTAATTACCAGGGACAAAAGCTTCAGCATTAGCACTAAGCTCACAGAACAACAACCAACATATGTCCAACAAACTAGTTCGGGTAAAGGTTATGTTTTAAATGAGTGATCACAGCAGAAAAAGCACCATGCATAGAGAACATAACAGCCTAGAGGCACAATTACAGACAAAAAAAAAAAAAACAACATCAGCCACCACCAAGGAAACTGGATTTGTCACCAAGTAGACAATAGAGGATTTTGTATGTTGAGCAACTCCTGTAGCAAAGCGACTAATCCAAGAGGCAGGCCGGCATAATGGCCTATTTATGAGCACGAGAGGTGGGAGGGCCAAGAGGGGTAAATTGTTTCAGGGGAGGGGGTAGCAGTGATTGGGTGCTGTGGGAGACAAACTCACAAGGCAGGGCCACTTTAATAATGGAGAGTGTGGAATGATGAAGTATGCGGGCTTTGTGATCATTTAGACACACTGTCACACCACATGCACAGTGTCGCACTGAGGAGTCTTTTGAAGTGCATATCAACATGCAAGTCTTTATGATCCATGAAATAAAGCCATTCTTCTTAATCCATTATAGATAAGAATTCCCACAAGCACTCCCCAATTAGCTCAAGTTGTTATTGCTTCTGGGACGCAGGGGTAAGTGTGGATATTAGGAGGTCTTTGAGAAACAAAATTCAAAAGGCTGCTCGTTTACACTGTAAAGTGCAATGATTTCTTGGATAGGAAGAATCTCTCCAATGTATTCAGGTGCAGGTTTGTGTAGCTTTAACCAGAAAGCATCGGCGCTGAAGTGGAAACTGAATAGAGTTAGAGCGTACAAATATTTCTGTTGAATATTTTGGATCGCAGAATACATTTTTCTGTTCAACAAAAAACTGCAAACAGGTTGAAAGTCGCCTGCCACTGCTATCAGACTTCAAAAGAAAAATCTGACTGTGCAGGGGAATTAGGAGAACAAGTGGAGACATGAAAAATCAGCATCCCAACACAACAGACACACATGAACATTACACAACACCTCGGCAGGAGCGTGCTGCTGTTGCAACGTAAGTGAGCTTCATCTTGTTATCCTTACATGGACATATGCGCCAATATTGCTAAATGCCTAAAATAACAGCTACTGGCCTGTTGGGACATGAGGTCAAGAAGCTGAATGATTTATTAGAGGAAGATGATATGACAGAAAAACTGCAAAGTTGACGATTAGAGCTGCATTCCTTTCTAGTTGCTGCTAAAGAAGAAAGAAAGCTGGAGTCGAGACACAAAGGAGACAGAGGGGGAGAAGCCATTTCCCTGCTTTTAAGACTGATCAATAATACGCTCATGCTGGAGAGTAAAGAAAACAGAGGCGGAGTCCAGTTTGGCATCACTTCCACACATGTCGGGCTCAGGACACTCAGTAGACTACAAACTGTGTGTTAAGCAGATGCATTACACCTGTCTGCGTGTATGATCACATCATGCGTGTTAATTCTTGGGCCTGAGGCAACAATACTGATGGTGTCAGATAGTACAGGTCTTTTAGTCAGAGTACCAGCCAGTGAGTCACAGTCACCTTACTGACAATAACAGTGAATCATGATGCAGATGGATGCACTTCCTATTCCACCTTAACTAAACCTACAGCCGGAAATTTTGCTTCAGTGATCTAAACACGGTAAAAGTTCTGTGCGGAAGAAAAAACAAAAAGAAAAAAAAAAAAACGAGGCAAATTTGCACATTTGATCACTGAAACTGTAAAAATTAAATACAGTTTTTAAATGAATAAAAATTTACATAAGTGCAACTTCTCAAAACTTCAGAAAGACCTTCACTTTTCAGTTGGGGGCATTTACAACACATGTGCACTGAAGGTGGTCAGTGGAGGTACTGCTGTATGAAAGGAATATTTGGGTGTTTCTACTGGCATGAATGCAAAGAGGCAGCTTCAAGTTGGGATGCTTTACTGAACTGGGTCAATTGTTGAACTTTTGGCCAACTGACTGCACTTCTGTGTCAACATTTGCATTCCACAGGGACAAATGACAATGAACATGAGTGGAGCAGCATACCAGCCATTACCTATTATGCAAGGTGACGAGAACGGTTTCGGTCACGCCACAATGGAGCGACAGACAAAAACAATACTCATTTAGAATAAGAACTACAATCATTAAGCCAGATGTTAGGTTCCAGCTGCTGGAGACACTACTTTGAGGCGCGGCATGAATAAACAGCAACGCTCTGCTGCGATTACGTTGTGTTTTGTAGTTGCTGCCATGGTTTATGGTTGGGGAAGTATGTTGTTTAAGTGTGGCCGTGTACTTTGGCAGTAAAACAGTTTGCTTATCTTATTGTTATGATGGGTTATAAATTTATTGTGCAGTCTAGTGGCTGAACAGTTTGGTGATATGGTGTCTGAGAATAAGTCTTACACAATCCTTACATTGTACATCAGAGACAAAAATACATTTTACCTACTAATGCTAAAGTCTCTATTGCTCTGCTAGCTAAAATTTATATTTTAGTGCCAGTTATGTGACTTATGGTAACCCAGTAATCTTTGCTGATTATTGCATTAACTTAATTAATGGCCTCATTAGAAGGGTATGTTTAATGCATTACTGTGACCGGATTTCAGGCAGCTCAAGTGCCTCCTGTTCCTGCTGTAATCAAAGTTACTGTGCACAAATATGTGCAAAACAAATACAATCCCTAGGACCAACCCATTCGCCTGACTAGAGATACATTGTTAGGAAAAGGGCAGCGCCACAAGGTTTGAGATAAGGAACTAGTCACTCAGGTTATCAGCTCTGCACCATGCTGCACCTTTCAGCCCCGAATTAAACTCAAAACTGTTAAATCAAAGAGGCTGTGAGAGCTTCCCAATTCGGTTTAAATGCGAAAGAGTGGGGAGGGGAGAAGAGAAGAGAGGAAAAAAAAAAAAACAACAGCCAGCCCAGAGAAGCCCCAGCTAGCATGAGTGGCTTCAAAGCATGTAATTGCCAACTGCACAGGCTGCGACAGGACGTGGAATTTGTGGACATGAGCTTTCCACATGGCAATTTTGTTCCTGGTGCAAACCTCTGCACTCCCAGTGGGAGAAAAATAGTAGAGGGGGGTTAGTTTGACTGTGTGTCTGTGGAATGCATCACAACATGATATACACAGCGCATGCATTTGGGGGGTAGCAAGTGATCATTGTGAAGCTGAAGGAGCCCCCTTTTAAAAGGCAATGAATCCACCGTGCCGGAGTGCTTTTGAGCAAGACATTGAATCCCTTTTCATGCTCTATAAACTAAGCTGACCCCTGACCTCAGTTATGAATGCACTGTTGTTCAGCTGTGAGGTTTTTGTAGCATTGTTTTTGGGTTTAATTCAGACAGACAATAATACTACACTGGTGCAGCAAGAGGAAGTGGTGGCACAAGAAGCAGTCAACAATGAAAACGGATACAAAAGTATGCTGTCATCTGACCTGTTAAACAACCCAAACTTGTAAATATATTTCTTAAAGGCGACCGCACTTGTGCAGGTAGGCTTTCATTGCGACCATGCAAACACACCAGCAAGTTAATCCCCAGCAAAGGTCACAAAAACCTGCTACACACTATCATGTGTGCCTCAGTGGCTGAAACAACACCACGAAGCTCGAGTTGTTTCTGACTGAGAGACACGTTTTAATGTGTTAAACAACTATTCAGAGCCCACAAAGGCGTTACGGGGTCAGAATTTAACAGTCGCCTTTGTGAAAGCAGCGAAATGTAGCCTGGAAACACAATGAAGATGAAGGGATTTGAGCCGCTTTACCCACCTCATTGTTCGGCCAGAGTGGAGACCCTCTCCTCGTAGGCAACTTCGGCTGACTTCAGAGGTGAAGCCCGGCGTTAAAAGTCAAAACTAGTGGGATAAAAAAAAAATGGGAAAAAAACGACGGAAAACAAAACACATCTACACCCGCAAACGGGGTAGCCACAAGCGGGATAAAGAAGCACACCTCGACGATTTCCTGGTTGTGTGGAGCGGGAGAGGAGGCGGAGGAGGAGGGGGTAGATACAGTAGTGGAGCGGGCTTGTCAACTCCAATCACTATCCCACACTGGCTTCTGCGAGAGAAACGAGGTGAAGCCGAGGAAGAAGCGCGGCTACACCGAAAACAAAAACTTCTCCGGTCACACTTTGAGCCTGTTTACCGCTCTGTTTCTGGGGATTCAGGCCGTTGGTGTGCCTCCGCCGGGCTTTTCTCGCTCCCTCGGTCGCTCGGTAGGTCTGTGTAGATTCATTGGAGTCTGGCCCAACCCGCCAGCTTCAAAGTAGGCTACGATCCCGTGCTGCGTTCAGAGGCGCCTCGGAAAAAATTGTGGTAAAAGTGTGAGTGGCGTTAACTTGACTTTTGATATGTGCGACTAATCTTAGAAGGCAAGCAGCAGACCATAATTCCCCTCCTAACCACTAGATTTCATTTCAGGTCTATTCTTAGATTATATTTTCCCTCCTGATTTTTTAAAATAGCATTAAAATCGTTTCACTTGATTAATATACATATACAACGTTTTGTTACATACTTTTTTGTAGTCCTTATTGCAGTCTAAGCATCTATATATCAATTGTGGTTTTACTTTACCTTTTGGTCAGGAATTAAATATTAATATTACCAATAATAAAGTTATAGAGAATAACCAAACTGTTTTTAAAAAACAATTTAGGATCATTTTTGTATGTGTTATCTAACGTTTATGTTACAGTTAAAGTAAGACGGACATCAAAATCTGAAAACAAAGTTTATTTCATGGACAGGTGGCAAATGTGTATGGATCCAAATTAATTGTGAGTTAGATAAACCCCTGGGGCATTGTGCTTGGGTTGTGGGGAAAGATACTCCATTTCAGAAAGTTATACTTAATTTGTAATAACTAAGTTGTAATCTGTTATGATTACTCCCAGTGAAGCATACGTCTTTCAATATATAGGTTTAAAAAAAAACAACAACAAAAACAGGCATTGTTTTTAAGGGAGGGTGTTTTAGCCCATTAATTAGTGGTGGAAAGCAATAAACGCATTTACTTAAATCTTAAGTCATGTTTGTTTGATAATTAGGGGGCACATTAAGGGATGGGTTTCCTCTTTCAAGAAATTTGGAGTGTTAAACACTTAATTTCCTCCATTCTGGTGAATGTTTATGCACCAATTTCTTTCTTCTTGGCTGGAAAGGGGAACAAATGCACATGTTCTAACTATTGATGGGACATGTTCCCTGCATCCCACTGAAACTTAAGTGGATTTATTCTTTATTTGAGGATTTTCCGTTGTGTGCTAAATAACTCTACAGCATTACATAGATGTATTGAACTCTATTCCATTTATTCAACACTTTGAGTTACATTGAAGGTTAATATTTTACATCTAAATCCATCCTACAAAATACAGTTCATTGTTGTTAAAACATACAGTACATACATACAACTGAAAATCCCTCTAATGCATTAATTAGCCAGTAGGTATAATCACAAGATGACATATAATAGTCTGACGAGGTCTCTTATGTTGTCTAACAAGTACTTTTTATGACTTTAAGTGTACGTTTCTGCCACAATGTATGCACTTATACTTACCTAAAATGACTGAACTTTGAACTGTATAGCAATACATCATGACAAAAACGTAGAGTACAGCTACATAAACTCTGTAACCTGGACAACTTTTTCAAATATAAGTCAAACCAGAGGAAGTATTGCCTACGTAATTCTCACCAAGTCTTTTTCTACTTGTATTTTTATAGATGCTTTAATGTGTGACCTGTTGCTGTAAATACATCTACATGTTCTAGAGAAGACATCACACCGCGCTTTACAATTATAGCTGAAGGGCCATGGATACAAAAATAACACACCAGTGAGAAAAACACACTTCTTGTAACTTCTCAAGTCCAATTTCGAAGACATGATCTAAGTATACACAGGGGTTTTACCACAAGATGTATGGTGAAATGTCACTGTAGTTGTCAGGCTACCAGTGAAAGATAAATAGTAGATGCTTCTTTGTAGTTCCTTTACATAGAAATAAACTAGTAATGGATTTAGTATATAATGGTTATTTCAAAAGAAACTTTCCAATCTGTTACTATGACATCTGCAGCCACACATATATTTTTTAACTCACTGAGACCTCTAAACACTCATATGCACACACACATGTTGCATCGGGTCTTTATGGGTTAAAGAATGATGATGAAACATGGTATTTATAAACTGAATGCTCACAGAGGCTAAGACTGTGGCTATGAGTGACAAGGAAATAAAACACATTTTGGGGCAACTGTAAAACTGTGTTTATCTACAAATAGCAATCGCTTAACAAAACGAACTTTTTGCTGAACCAAAAATAAGACTTATAAGCTTTCCCCAAAATTTCCCCAAATTCAAACTTTGTGGTTGGGAGTTTCATTTTCCGATAGCACTTGAAGGTAGCATCCCATCCACGCCAGGGGCCTTGCCAAGTCTTCCACCTCGCCCTACTGGCTGTCTTGGTAACTTCAGGTTTCTAATAGCCACTGTGGCTTCTGTGGTCACTCTATGGACAGGCTTTCTTTAGCATTTTAATGAGTAATGTTACTGGAATGAAACAAACAAATAAACAAAAGAATTACAGCTTTGATTCATAAGATAGATTTAAGGGCGATGAGCAACAAAGATTCCAAGCTGAACCACAGCGAGTTTTTTAATATCTTATATGAGAGGGTGAAGTAATATAAAACCATGAAGGGAAAAAGAAGTTGGATGGCCTAACATGGCCCAGTTTTCAGCACTGAGATACTGCACATAGTAAAAGCACCCTGATGGGGACAGAAGTGGAAGAGAGGATGTGAAAGGAATGCATTACGTCTGCATGGCATGTGTAAACATCCAGAAAACCAATATGCCTTTAGTCTGGCTATATACACACTCTCAGACATACTAGCTGACTGCTCTGAGCAACTGCTGCTCTGGTATTTTTATTTTATTTTTTTTAGCCATGTGTCACGTGTCTGTTAACTGTGCTGCCGACTACAGTTCAGATTGTCATGTAAAGCCCAGTTTCTTGTGCAGTTTTGTAAATATTAACATCAGCTCCTGTGTGAGCTTGAGCTCCACAACATGTGTGAATGTGTCCGTGTGATGTGCGGAGGCTCAGAATTTTCAAAAAGTTGGTTCTTTTCCCAGAAAGTAGCCTGTAAAGAATCAGAGACAGTCATGCAGTAATTTTAGGGTGCTCCTCCCATTTACCACAGCTTTATTTCCACAGCTTGACGTCAGTTAGTCACAGTGGAGGAATGTAACTAAGTACATATACTCACGTGCTGTACTTTACAATTTTTATGTACTTGTACTATTTCAGTGTCATGTATCTTTCTCCTTTTACTCCTATATATTTTGGAGACATATATTGCACTTTGTACTTCACTAAATTTATGTGAAAGCTTGTAAATCTTTGCAGGTCCAGATTATTAAAGTAAAAAAAACAAGTCAACTAATAGATAATGCTATATTATTATAGATTATACTACCCAACAGTCTATAAAGTTATTAAAATTAGCCCCAGGTGCTACATTAAGGTGAATCCAAAAACAAATGTATGATTCTCAAGCAGTCCACTCTGTCTACCGAGTACTTTTACTTTAGGTCCTTTAAGTATATTTTGACAGTAATATCTTTGTAATTTTACTTAAATATGCTTTTGAATACAGGATTGGTTGGCCAACAACATCCACGGCTGATAATCTGACAGAAAATGTGCTGGACAGCAGCACTGAGGCCTCCACAAGAACTGGAGCAAAGCAGCTACAATAGATCTTCAGAGATATTGTTAGAGGGACTGGATGGAAAAAGTGGGACAATCTGCTGAAGTACCACAGAGAAGAAAGATTTTAAGAAAAGAGACGTGCTCAGTCAGCCAGGCTGATTTCCAGCTCTACGTAGCTTTCTATCTCTGTGAGTTTGTGGAGAGGCTATTATGTAAACAGACTGCACTTCTACTACATCTTACATCAGGGCGTCCAGGTCTTGTTAAAGCATACAGTCCTGAGGCAGTGTCTATAAACCTCATCCTCCACTCTTGGCTGAATAGCAGACGAATAAAAAGAATTACACAACTGAACTTCAACCGAGGAAACAAAGTGTCAGTCTGGATCCTGAAGTTGGCAGCAGTTAGCCAGACAGGGATTAAGAATAACAGTATGGACTGTTCTGTCCAACCCACTGTTTGGTAGTATTTATAAATGAAGCCAGTGGACAGAGAGGGAGATTGTTGCTGTTCAAGTGTTTCAAATCTCTGTCCATCTCCTCCTGACAGGGGAGGAATGCGACCGGAGGAGGGTGAGATCTGTAAATGGGAGCGAGACGCAACTAAGAGTTCTGGGCTGGAGGCCAACGATGCAAAGGGCAGCAGAAGGGTTTTAGAGAGTGTCTAAATGACATGTCCTGAAATGTAGGCCCTGAACTCCTCATGGGGACAACTGGGACCATTACACAATGACAATGGAGACCAGGCGAGTGTCCTTAAAGTGAAGCATAATAAATGAAGGCATGGTTTGCTCCCTGTCCTGAATGCATGTTGCAATTTTAATGGCAGAGCACTAAGGTAAGGAGACAAGAGATCTCTATACTGAACATCAAAATAAAAATAAAAATGTCTAAAAGCTTTGGTTTCATGTCATATATATCATATATTGTTATGAGTACCAGATTAGATGATGCTTTCAAGATAAATATGTCAGTTTTCATGACACACTGTATTCAGCCTAAAGGGCTTGTTAGAGAAGCCAAATGAGCGTCTCTGCTGGGAATCTGGATGTTACTTTTCTATTCCACTAGATGGCAATATGACCTTAACCTGTGACAGACAGACACAACAGTGTACCTGTGACAAGTCAATGTATTTTCTTATGCGTAGCAGTGCTGACTTAAACAGGTCTACCTTGAAAGAGGAGAAAAAGAAATAAAATAAATACAATTATTCATTTTTTAAAAAAGTGTTATTATGTGTTTATATTAGTTTTCATCCAGAAGCAAAACAGTGGTTTGATCTGGTGTGTTACTAAGTAGTAATAAACAGGTAATGAAGATATTTTTTTTAGCGTAAACTAAAAGATACTATTATACTGAATTAATATATTTTGTACAAATTTTCATAGACTAATAAACTTTGAGATTATATAAACCCACTTATTTTATAATATTTTTATAACAGTTTGAAAATATGATATGACAATATTTTATGTTCAAATAATCTAGAAAATATGCTAAAACAACATTATAAGAAATAATATAAAATCATATTTTGTAATATGCTGTAATAAAAACTAAACAAAACGTGAAAAAAAAGCTACTGATAATCATTTTTGAGAAATGTGGGAATTTGGGGAAGATGTTTTACATACATATTTATACATATCCTACAGATTACTCACTACATGTCTGAAACCTTGACTGCAAACACTTTGCCAATGCTGACAAGGACCGTCAAGCTCAACATCTGACATATTATATAAAATAAAATGCCAGATTTTTCGTGTTTTTTTTTTGTTTTTTTTTTTAAATCAGAAGTTTAAAAAATAAATAATGAGCTACAAATATTGTAGTTGTTAGTAAAAGATGTCTTTATCACTGGGAGTTTTATCGTGGAAATTTGGAGTAAAGATCTCAGTGCAAAATCCTGGATTACCACATCATGATGCAACACCACTCATCGGATTAATACTGGGTGATTCCAATGAAAACAACACTGTCATTAAGATATACATGACTAGACTTGGTCCTAGTTGGTCCCACTCTGCTCCTCACTGCAGCAGGTCTTGTTTGTAAATAGGTGCTGGTCTACATCCACCTGATCCCTGTTGTTTTGGCTGCTGCTCCACGTGTCCCTGCACTTACTGTCAGTCGCACTTAAAGAGAGATGAGTGAAGGCGGTGTTTGTATTTACGGAGCTGATATTCCCCTCCCATCAGCACCAGCCCTCCTCCATCCACCTCCTCCTCCTCCTCCTCCACCGACCGTCTCCTCTCCCACCTGGCCTGCCGGCTCTGACACCCGGACCGCGGCTCTGCTTGAAAACAAACTGCGGCGGCGGCTCCGGTTACCGGGGCCCGATCGATGCGCTCGCAGGGTGTCGCGTTGCTCGGGAGGCTTGAGTATCGATGCATGGCCGATCGCTATCATAATCACACTTCCCCCCTCTTATCGCTTACCTACTGAATAAAACATCTGCCTTCCTGCCCGTGGATCGCTCACCCGCCCCAAAATCTGGAGGGAAAGAGACTTCTTGAAGTGTCTTTGGGATGAGTGAAGTAACATGAGAGAAGCGGCCAACAAATGAGGTCCCCAAAGTTGTTTTTATCTCAGGCATCTCCAAATAGACCCGCCAGCTATTTGACAGGGTTTTGTCCCAGGATGCTGCAGCTGAGTTTCATTGTTGAGAGATGTCACTTGATCTCAAAACAAACTATAGATTTACAGTTTTTGATGGATTAAGCGTGTCGCTGCAAATTAAAGCGAAGCTCTGAACTTGTTTGTTCTTGTCATGTTCTCTGGTTTGTCTTTGGAACATCTTTAGCAGCATTTTGGTCCATGAGGTCCACTGCTGAATGTAGAGACCATGGGGCCCAAACATTAGAAGATGGGGCTTTGTCTGCCTTTTTTTTTTGGCTACACTGTCCATCTTAACTGCCAGATACAAAGTGCATATAAAACCCTGAACAAGTTGAGGAATATAATAAAAGTTGATTTACTATTTACATGCACAACTGCTCACTGAATCATTGCAGAGGTCAACTTACTCATGCAAATTTTGAAACAACTTTTAAGGCAGCAGTCTTTTCCACCATCAATATAATATCAATTTAGAGGATGTCTTATTGAACATCGGTATTCATCCCTGCAGTAAAGTTTCACAGAGAATAGGAAGGCTTTGCAAGTATGCATGCACATATAGTGTGAAGAGGATGATTTTTCTCAAACGTTTTTGCAGGCTTGATCAGGATGCTGGACAAATTCATCATTTTTGCCTGAAAATGTAAAGAAATGACTCTTTGGATCACACCACAACAATAATCAAATAGTTTTTGTTGTGTTGGTGACAAACCACACATTTTCAGATGGATTACAAAGATTTTGAACCCTGTTTGTTGTAACAATGGTTCAATAATCTGCCATCAAAAGCTCCTAGACTGGGAAGATTACTTGTCATTTTATTTTGGCTGAAATGGTGTTTGTCTTCTTTCAGCATAATTCTTTAGGGTTAAGGTTAGAGTCAGCACACCCTAGTTAAGCACACACATTCATCTCTTTTTAAATATTTGACAAACAGCACAATTATTTTCATAGAAATATGATCTTGCAGTGGAATGAAGACGCAGCAACACACTTAACCCAGTTTTCAGTCAGTATTAACAAAACCCTTCACATAGATTTGCTTTATTTTCCTCTAGAACATTTTTTTCTCACTTTGGGGTCTGAGACACTTCAGCACCACAGTTACAGCATCCCATCTAAATCAGAATCCCCCTGTAATCGCCATCCTTTGTTTATATTCTGATACAGAATGTATAAGATATCCAGTCAGTCAGGTTTTCAGCAATTTATTTGGCTGACTGAATGTGAAATTAGATGTGGTTGAAAAATAAAACTGAGCATCAAGTTTGGACATTTTTTCCCTACTGAAAGTCTTTTTCAGAGGATTAAAATTCAACCAAAGACAAAGAGTAAAAACACAGTTTCAGTGGCATGTAACTGCGATTACTTGCCATGTTTTATGTGTAGTTTGATGTATCACATCAAAACTTGGTAGATGACTCCATCAGATTGCCTGTTTCCAGGTGAAAGAATGAGCTTCAGTGCTCCAGTGTTTAAAGCTACTGTAGTTAAGAGTTTGCTTTTATTGTAACTTCAAAATTTACATTTACTTGGATATTTTTAACTAAAAAATACTGAGCAGATGACTCATCTGGGGCCCTCCTGGTGGCCTTAAGCAGCTGCTGTGTGTCCTTGGGCTGCCTGTGCAACAACTTGTCCATTTTCCGGCCCCTGCAATATGATCTCCTCAAACTTTTAGTAGAAGTCAAGATTTGCCTGAAGCAAAAGTGCAATAGCTATTAGTCAGAACAGTCATAAAAGTTCACTGCATTTCTAATTCTGCGCTCAGACTGACTCTCATTTGTCCTTCTGACCCAGCAGACTTCACCTGACAGCTATAAATCAGTGAGGACTTGTTGCCCACACAGATACTCCACAGGTGCTGGCCTCATGGGCACACAGTGAGTGTAATGTAAAGTACAAAACATAACATGTCAAGATGTTAAGATGACTGAATAGTATAGAAGGAAGAAAAAATTAGGCTACTTCATAGCCTTTTACAAGTGATGATACAATGTTTTTGAACAAGAAAAGCTTCAGGGAGTTCAATCTTAAATAAAAGGCCTACAACAAGTGGGAATTTAAACACAGATTCAGAAATCGATGGCATTCAATTCTCCAAACATTATGAAATACACTGACAAGCATTTTATTTACTTGCACACATTTGACCACTAAATCTGAGAGCACTAAAGAGCAGAGGTTAGATGCCAACTGCTAGAGAGAAGTAAGGCGACACTAGCTGTTAAGCTATTAAGACAATTAACAAAGTGGTCAGGAGGGGCCGAGCGGCAGAGAGGAACAGCCTGAAATGGAGAGAGATGAGGGTGTGAAGTGACAGTCAGCACATCTGGTCTCATCAATAATGCAGTGGGCCTTTAAACGGCAGTTTGTCGCATATTGAGCGCTACTGAGTGAAATCCAGCCCGACACCTAAGATGCTGTCAGGGGAGAGTGAAAGGGTGACGGTGGAAGGAGGAGGAGGAAAAGGGGAGGAGGATAGCAAGAATACTCAAGAAAAATTACTTTTTTACTAAGGCTTCACACTATACGCGTGTTGTAGTGTACACTGAACGAACGAGACAAGAGAACAAAGCACAGGTTAGTAGAATGAATCAGCACTGGTACAGAGTAATCTACTGATAGTCTGTGATATTGAGGAGGAGAAGCTAAAAGCAAGTAAATACTCACACAACGTTTGAATCTCTTCATTACTTTTATTATTAAAATGAAAAAGACAGAAGACTCTGTAGACAAAGCAAAATCAGGCACTGTTGTGCCTAATTGACTCTCAAAATAGTAGAAACATTTTGCTGATGCAATATTTCTATTTCAACAGTGAATGCAGTGATCCAACAACAAAAAAAAGTTAACATGAATGACAATCTACTGCCTTTAAATCTTTCAAACAAAGTATGAGAAAGAAAAAAGGCTCTGTGACAGGTTCAGCTGGATGTCTTTTAAGAGTTCATTTTCCTGTGATCAGAGGATTTCTCAGCACAACGATAACAGAGTCTCCCCTGAGGAACATTTTGGAAATGTAGCGGTCCTTATTCACGGGCTTAGACTTCTTCTTCCCCTTCCCGCTCTTGGGAACCTCTGTCCACATCTCCTTCACATTTTCCAAGACCATGTTGCAATGTCTGAAAAGATAGTGAGGATGCAGCATGTTAAAATCTAATGTTATTTAAGTAAAAAAATCCCAGAAAACCAAGGGTATACTATAAAAACGTCACAATTATCCTGTCATGTCGCACAAACAATAATGTATAGATGGCGTGGTTGAGGAATTAGGGTGAAGTCTTGACTTAATCAATATAAGGTTTTGCGATCTTAAAAACAAAAACAAACAAAATAATCTTTTAATAAGACAGATGTAATACGTAAATCCATGTGCAAGTTTAGAAGCCTCTCGTCATTAAAATTATTATCTCCCTGTTTTTAATAATTAAACAAACAATTGTGTTCTTATTTCAGGTAATAATGTTTCAGTATGCATTGTACAAGAAGCACTTTCCCCCATAATGAATCAAAAAGGTGTGAAAATGGTATTTAAAAAGTAATGTACTATCAAAAATAATTGATTTAATGGTCGCAGATTTAATCTTTGAGACAATGTAATACTGAGTAATAAATGAAAACAGATTCTGAACTGTGAATACAAAACCAGAGTAGGTAACATCTAGTGGTAGAAAGTAAGAAACCAGCAATATTCTAAAGACCTGAAAAAAAATCTACTCACTTATGAGAAGTTAAGAAATAAAAAATCCAAACCCAATTCAAAAAAGTAACAACCAGATTTAAAAGGAACTTAAATTACAAAATGTTTTGGGATAAACAAATATTAATCTGGTGTTATACCCTCAAACCTATGAAGCAGCACGTCACTGACTCAGTACCTGTCAAAAGCCTTCACTCTTCCGAGCAGCTTCTTGTTGTTGCGGCAGTTTATGAGGACCTGAGTGTTGTTCTTCACTGACTGGGTGAGCACCGAGAGGGGGCCGGTGTTGAACTCCTCCTCCTCTCGCTTCTGGAGCTCCTCGGGGGTCATCTCAGACTTGGGCTTTGTTAACAGACTCCTGGAAATGAAACAGAACCATTTTTTTTTCTGGTTTTGAGTTTGTGACATTTTGTTTTATATATATTCATATTTCTTTTATTTGTTTTGTTACAATATAGAGTTAAAAAACAATAACAAAACCAAACAACAACAACAAAAGAGACTCTTTTAGACAGACATTGTGCTGTGCTAGTGGTATGAGTCAAGATTTTTAAAAAAACGTTTATGTAATGTTTAAATCATCTATACTGAAGAAGCATATACTTTCATGTCTGAGACACACATTCTGAAGGCTGGTGCATCTGTGCAGCACCACAATGCCTCATTTATAATGGTATGTTGTTAAATATTTTACACTTTCCAAAAATTAATAAATGTATTGTGGATATTGAACTTGGTCATATGCACTTCAGTAATACAGAATATGTCACCACAGGATTCCAGCGATCTAAAACAATTACACATGTGCACCAAAGAAATAAAAAAAGGTGTACCCTATACAGATAGGTTAGCTTACTGTACCTATGAAGCCCAGTCATTTTCTGTTTAATTTTATTAACTTTTAGCAGCGTTTAGTACAAAGAACGGCATTTCGTTATCAAATTCAAATGTCTGCATATACTAACCAAGTAAACATTTTCCCCAACACAAACTGAAATGTGATTCTGAGCTTTCAGTAGGTTGGTGCTGCATTTAAACGCAACTGATTATTGTGGCAAACACATTAGCAGTTTGCGGTAACAGACTTGTAGCTCTGGCTGGACAAGCAAGACATTAAGTTAATCCTTTGGTCATAGCTGGGAATTTTATATACTACTACAATATTTACGTCAGGCAGATAAAGACCAACTAATCACGAACACGCTCACACACTTTGTTCCGTGCTAGCATTTAGCATTGTAGCATTTATCGATACTATAGCGAGCAGTCTGACTGGTAACTTTAAAACGTTACACCAAGAGAGTTTTCCAACTATTAATTGTTCCCGACAGTAAATTAATGTAGCTGTAACAGAGAGCAGCCTGAAAACACACAACAGGACATACAAATAATTAATCGCCTCAAGCTAGCTGGCCTTGGTTCTTAAAAGGCTAACAATGTTAGCATTATAACTGCTAGCTGCTGCGATTCGTAGTTCAGGCTCCGAGAGTGAAAATGAACATTTTCCCACAGATTGGTTTATCATTATGGATACTTACATGGCTGCTGATTTATAAAAACAGTTCACTCAGGTGGTATTTCTATCTTCTCTCCACCGGCGCCTTCGTATCCGTAACGACAGAGCCTGCCTCGCGTGTATCGAGCTACTTCCAGGTCAGCCGGTGCGCGCTTCAGGAGGCTACGATCACTACCGGGTTACTACCAGAGCCGGTATGGAAAACTGTGTCCACTTTTATGTACAATATATGAGTGCTACAGTCTCAAAAAACTGCACAAACATTTGTGTATTTTCTGCAGCAATTTGATCATGATGAGAAGTGCATTTTAAGTGCATTTTGTACAACAGACGGGTACAACAGGCTGGCGGTGGTTTATAGTAACTTACTAAAATGTATATGAAGGCTGTGTATGCGCACATTTAGCTGATACCAGGGATGTAGGTTTCATTATGCTTTCCAGAAATGTTCTGGAAGAGAAACAAGATCAGCATTAAGAGTCCTATTCCTAACATCAATATCCACCCCTGTTCATGATCACACTGGACTGAACACTGTATATTTCATACGGTTCATATTGCCCATACCATCACTTATTCCCTCCTTTATCTGTACATGTATCTATCTTTATATTGTTATCTACGGCTATTTTTTTGGTTCATACCACTCTGGCTCTTCTGTTCATTCTATTATACTGTATCATACTGTACATACTCAAACTGCATATAATGCACTTTTCTTTTGCAGTTCTCGTTTTCTGCATTTTGTTGTCTCGGTACTTGTTCTATGTGCAAAGACAATAAAGTTGAATCTGATTTAATCTAATTTTAGAACCTAACAAGTTTAAATATTGGAGTTAAGACCCTACAGTGGCATTTACTGTGTGAATTTACACAAGCAATTTTAATATTAAGGAGTAAAAACCTTTTAGAATAATATAAATTACTTTAACTTTCTAACTTTATCTGACCACAATAAGTATTAAAGTTAAAACTCTATGGTCATTTTAATTATGGAGATTAACCCAACTATCTCAAACTATAATTGCCACCCCCAAAACAAACCCAACAAACCTATGAGCAAGTTTTGTTTTTATTTTCATGTCTATTATCTTGTAGTTTATATATTTTATTGTTAAATTAAAGCTTTTTTTTTTGTTTGTATTTTTTCTTATTTGTATAAGCAGCACTGGAGAGGAATGACTTCCGTTTAATTCGAAGAAACCTCCAGCAAAGCCGGGCTCAGGGAAGCCAGCTGTCTGCTTCAATCGTTTGGATGAGGGTAAAGGGGAGATTTAAAAAAAAAAGACAGCAGAGACAAACACATGACAAACAAGAGAAGTGGTACAGAGTAAGAGAGAGAGGACAGACAAACTTCAAGAGGCCAAAGACAGTTTCACCCAGTTTACTGCTTTACTCTTTTGCTTTTGTCGTTAAATCTCATTTCTGTTGTTTATCTAGATATGGCTTCACCATAGTTATCCTGTTCGTAGTTCACTTCACATGTGGTAGCTCTTTTCTTTTCCTCCATGCATTTATATTCACTTTTGCATTTATCATTTGAACATTGGAGAGGACACATTATTGGGGGTTTGAGTTACTCCCCAATGAAATTCTGAGCATCAAATACATCATTTCTTTCATTCTGATGAGTTTTTAATCCACCAATTTGTTCCTTTTCTGTATCAGTTTATGGTATAAATACAATTTCCTTCCCTCCAAGTAATTATTTAAACTATTACATGTTTGTAACCTTGTCTTTTCTCTCCTGCAGTTTGTGCTTTGTCCTCTCTGTCCTCTCTCCCTTGCAGGTATTTCTGGCTGCATGGGTTCGATCTGCGGTTACTGGTCCGACCAACCTGTCCAGTTTTTGTGTTCTCTTGGTTGTTTGGTCTCATGACTTGGTTGATCTGTTTGTCTCTGCTCTCCTGTTCTCTGTTTCTTTTACCTTAACCCTAACCGGACGAAGCAGGCCCTGGTTCTGCTGTAGGTTTCTTCCCGCTAACAGGAAGGTCTTTCTCTCCACTGTCATGCAGTATGCATGCTTATACAGAATCCTTGGGTTTGTTTGGTTTTCCATGTATAATTTTGTATGGTTTAACTTTAGATTAGTAAAATAAATCACCATAATTAATATGAAATGAATGTTTGGTCTTAAGCATACAATTATATTTAGTCAGGTAAATTAGAATTTTGTATCATTTTGTAGAATTGTAACCATAATATTTATTATATTGATATAAATTCATATTTTATACTTTATGGTCTTTGTCACTTGACGTAAGAGTTAATTTGCTATGCCACTCTTTCATTTCAGTCATTTCTCTACTATTAAATGTACCCTATAAATATTGTTGATTTGACATTTCTGTAAAGTATAACATAAAATTCAGACAGGAGGCCACAGTTTAAAATATAATGCAACATAATGTAGTTAAGCGCTCAGGAATTCTGTATTGCTTTCAAATGTTTATTTTCCTGTTGATCAGCATTTCTCATTTAATATCATCCCTGATCTTATGTGTCTTTTGTTGAGGACGTAACCTCTTTAAATGTGCATGTGGCACTTTTCTGACTAATGCTACATTTTTGAACTCCTGGACTTTAATAGCTCATATGTGTTCTAGCAACATTTCTGCACATGTACAAGACTCTCTGCTCATTTAGAACATATCACACTTATCTTGCCTGTCTGCGCTTAGGAAACATGCACATGTCAGCTGTGTTCCTGGAGGTGACTGAAAACACAAATGCAACACATTTTTGGATTAAAATGTTGATGAAATCTACTATATGTGCTTCTGTTGGTGGCATTGTGGCATCTATGAGTAACAGTACAGCAGTTTTTATTGGGGTAGACAGATGCAAGCGTTGTAAATACTGGAGGAATCAATCACCTGAGTCTTCACCTAAAAGAAAAGACTACGGCTGATACGTTTTACCCATTTTTGAATCTATGAATCTGAGCCTACTTATGACCTCATGGAGCAATTTAACTATGTCGGAACTTTTACTTAAAAAGATACAAAAACTTACTTAACTATTACAGGGTGTTAACTGGGTGATTATTCTGCACAATAGCTGTTCAAGATAAGACTAAACTTGATTAAATCATTCCTCATAGCCTAATAATAATAATGATAATGTTCACTATAAATCAACAATTTCTGCTTAAGAAGTTGTAACAGAAAAAACACAAGGTAGCAGCAGCCAAACTGATAGCACAGACCCAAACAGTTAAGTCTTTGTTTTGCTCTTTAACGCAACAAGAACGAGGGGATGTCTCTCTGTGTGTGTTTGTGTGTGACAGAGAGAGAGAGAGAGAGAGAGAGAGAGAGAAAGTCAGGGATGTATGCTACATTATCTACACTGCAGCAAGGAGACACTGAGAGATTGGCTTTCTGGCAAGAGACAGACAGACGCCTATGAGTGTACAACCCACCCCCCTATTTCAAAGGGTGGCAGATCTACCTGTGGAAACCACTTGCTGCAGATAATAGCAGCCTGTGTGCTGTTGAGGGAGGCAAGCGTGTAGGATTGATTTCCAGACTAGTATATCTTTATGAAGCACACCTACTAGAGCCAAAAGACCTGCATCTTAAACTGTGAGGTAAAATGAGCTCAGCACTACACACAACTTACGATGGGACTGCAGTAATCTGGACACACTTAGCAGGTGCCAAATTCAGAGAGCAGAGATGAACTCAGCAACCATTAAATTGGATAGACTAGAAAAAAATAGGTTGGTGTGTTGTTTTAAAACATCTGAATATTGTGTCAAGTTAATTTTTAAATGTCCTTTCTTTATATCATTAAGGCCCATGCAGTGATTTAGAGGACTTTGCAGGTGTGAAGGTGATAGAGAACAAAAATACCCCTTGCAGAAGCAGGAATAAGCTGGCAATGTGTGATGCTGGATTTTATTACCAGTCTGCTTTGACACATTTTACTTTCCTAATATTGTGCAAATTGCAAAAGCTGCTTTCAGGTATGATGCTCATCCACTAATAACTTTTAAGATCCACATCAATTGTTATTCTCTAGACTGACATATGGTTAAAATCTGATTTTTGTTGGGGAAAAGAAAGCTCTGATATGTGGACCAGACATAATGTCATCAAGCACATGGCCAAACACAACTTTATGGTGTTTTTGAAGTGTGTGACTAACTACTTTCACATTTAATTTTCAGGGAAAAAGGAAGTAAAATACAATTATGATTGTAAACATGTGAATAACCTCCACTTCTGTGCTCATAAAAAAACAACTCTTTCCCTTTTGTGCCTCCTCTTCCTTCCCCTTTACAATTTGTTTTGCTGTAGATTGTTTAAAGTGTACACAGTTCATTTTTAGAAAACCATTTTTACCATATCTATGTAACCCTCAGCACATGATCATCAGCAACAGCCCGGCAGGTATAGTAAAACACATATACTTTAAGAGAAAGATTTATGGCTGTGGTTATTAGTAGAGCTGTCGAAGTGAAGGTTTATTACACTAACAGCAAACAGTATCTTCTTACTCCTGCCTCAGGATATAAAACTCTACTTTGCACCATAAACATGTTGATTCACAGCTCTGTCCCTCTGCTCTCTATGCTGCGACCGCAATTGCTCATGCCAGTAATGAAAATATTATTATCTTTGCATCTATCTAGACCGGGAGTTTGCCAACAGTGAAGTTACCTGATCCAGCCCAGTCTGCCTTAACCACAGGCGACTGTGGATGTGGCTGGGTTTGGAGAGGTGACGGGCTGGGGTCCCTTTGATATAAAGGAACCTTTTGTTTTAAGGAGGCAGCCGCCCAGAGAGCTGCTCTAATCTGCAATACCCATACATCTATTCTTTATTAATTTATATCCCAGAGGGGAGCAGGCGGGAAGAGGGAGAGGTGAGGGAAAGTTTAACAGGCGGTGAAGTTAGCGCAGAGTGAAATTCAAGACAGATCAATAAGATGAGCTGGGCTGGAAATGTCAGGTCTACCTGTTGAGGTTACATCACAGTTTGTGCACTGTTTCAACCTGATGTTTCCTCAAGAAACCTTCTGGTGCACATTTGAACTGTTGATCTCACCAAAAAAGAAAAAAGAAAGACAAAGAATGAATCACAGCATGCACATCAAAAAGCCTATTCTCTACACTTTTATCTCACTTCTTAAAAAAGCAAAAAAACTTTTAACACTGAATCCAGTCTATATAGTCCTTCCTGTGCGGGCTCAACTCTCCAGGGTCAAACATTTAATAACACAGCCAAATAAGAACAATCAACTACAGCAGGTTTTAATGAGGTGAAAAGAAAAAACACAATTAAAAATGCATTATTTATCGTTTAATTACATGTAAGGTAATTAAAATGGGAATGTGATATTTTTAGTTGCAGCATTAACGAAATCGAAGACAATAAGTGCAGCAAATGAACAGTTTAAGCGTCATTTAACATTGTTTTTTTGTTTGTTTGTTTTTTACTCACATTGTAAACTCATATGTTAAAACGATCTTTGGGCTGAAAATAATTTTACTATTTAGTTTTTAAAGGAGGCTAGTTGGAGCGTTTCCCACAACTTAAATTGCTTCAAAGGCAACATTTAGTGTTTGAATGTGTTCACATGCTGGCTAAAATGAATCACTTCAGGCAGAGTTATAATTTTCTTCTTAGTTTTTTTTTTTTTTTAAGTTTTTCTTTTTTTTGTTTTTTGTGGCCTCTTGCATTCTGATTTCAGTCCATGGCAACAGGCCTAAAATGGTGACATGCGCGTAAACATCACTTCTCTTTTCGATACTGATAAGTGCATATTTGGAACATATAGAGAAAACGTAACGTGAACATTGTTCAGAAAAGAAGAATATACGTTCAGCTTGCAGATAAAGACCAATAACAGATTTTTTAAATTTAACCCTGGTTACAGTGACTGTGGTTTAAAAATGTGCATACTTTTTTTTTTCTTTCACATTTTGTAAATGTGTGGTAGGAAAACCATTTCTTTGATTACTATGTGTGTGAGGCACGTTTAGTTTATCCGTCAGTTATTATTATATATTTTTTTATTATTAATTTAACACAAACTGCACATCAGGATTTTTTTTTTTTGATGAAACAATGCAAGTCTAATATCGCTGCTCCTTTCAGTTCAGACATCCTTCACTGTAACGCAAAGAAATTATTGGCAGATATTGCAGAGTAGTTTTCATTAACTGGGATATTAAAGAAAGTCCATTTGGTGGGTGAGCAGGAAGCTTTGGCCTTTTATTGTCCATATTTGTTTATCTAAGTTCTACAGCAATGTTAATATTATGACTGTTATTCTATTTTTCTATATTCCAAGATGAAGGAGGGCTTGAACTGACTTGAGGGCAGTAATTTGGAAAGTCACTACAGCATCCCCCGAGGTCTGAGTGAGCGTTCTTGGATAGAAACGGTCCTGGAGACGTCTTGGAGGTGGCGCACTCCTCTTGGCACGGACTAAACGTGGCGGCACATGGTATCTGGTGGGAGTAAAAGTAGCTGGCTTGTCCGGAGATCATGTTAAAAGAGCATGGGTCCGACAGCGGCAGCGTGCAGGCAGGGATGGATGTGGAGAAGGCGGTGCAGGCAGTGCCAATCTGATGGCGACGGGATTGCGCGCAACTCACTCCAATGTAAGACATCTCCTGGTGCGTCTGCACGAACCGGTCGGCGTCTGCGGCATTTGCACTAAGCCGGGCCCGCTGTGAAACCAGAGAATGGTTGGAGAAGCGAGGGTGAGCATTCAGATAAGTCCCTGCGCCGATGTGAGTGCGCACTGGTGTTTGGAGAGGTAGGAACGGCGGAACCGGCCAGTAAAACGAACTCGCTGCAGCCAAGGTAACACTGGTTGCAGTGCCGGGGGACATCATGCGACCTCCTCCCCTCTTGAGACCGAGTTTGGTCCTGGAGCCAGCTGCGGCTCTGCGCCGGAGTTTTCCCGATGTGCCACCTATGAAGACATCCTCACTGCAGGGGTCCAGCATCCAGTAGTTGCCTTTACCCGGGTCATCGTAGTGGCGCGGCACTTTAACAAAACACTTGTTCAGACTCAGGTTGTGCCTGATGGAGTTTTGCCAGCCTTGTCTGTTCTGTCGATAGTACGGAAAGTTGTCCATGATGAACTCATAGATGCCGTTGAGTGTAAGCCGTCGTTCCGGGCTTTGGCGGATCGCCATCATGATGAGCGCGTTGTAACTAAAAGGAGGTTTCTCAGGTTTAACGCTTTCCTCTGCTCCTCCGGTTTTCTTTGAATCCCCTTTATTCCCTTCTCGTTTTCCATTTGCAGACATCGGTTTAGCGTCTACTTTGGCGCACTGTTTTGAGTTTTCGCAGTTCTTCTCTTTGTCAAAGTTCTCCTCTTGACTGGACTTCTCAGGGTGAGCAGAGCGCAGTTTCTGGGACGGAGAAGGAGATTCCTGCTCACCCATCACCCCCTCTCGTCTCCACAGCAGGCTACTGATGCTGAATGAAGACTTGTGAAAGAATCGGTTCGAAGTTTTCAAATCCTCCGTCTCCATCTCCAAAAGTCACTCCTACAATTCTCAAAGCTGCCCGGAGATCGCAGGAGAGCGCGTCACTGAACCCACAGAGCAAAGATGCGCTGATTCAAAGTGGTGAGGAGCCAAAGACCCACTGGCCAGACAGCGTGACAACAAATGCGCATGATCACAGCAGCTCAGGATTCGTTACCGACGAAACGTAGGCCAGAGCATTAGTCACTGGATCCAAGAGTGAAGTATCTGGGGCGTAATTATGCGCATGTTCCAGTACTTTGTGCTGATATAAACCATTTTGGAAAGAATCTTTAATTTACTCCAACAAATACAGCCTATTTAATCGCTTTTTGGATCAAATCAAAGTACAGTAACATAATTGAGCTGTTTCACTGGCACTTCTGGGTCAATTATTTAAACAATAAATTCCCAGTAATCTTCATAACATTTCGAAAATAGTCCAGGATAAAATGAGTGTGCTGTCAATCTAAGTGACTGATCGCTGAACTCTTGGGTGCAATTATAACACTTCCGTGACTCATGAAACTCAACTCTCTCACACGCGCCTTGCCCTCTGGGTTGGCCTCATCGTTCTCTCCTTTTTTCCTCTGATCCTCTTCTCTGCGCACCTTATTCGACATCAATATGGCAAAATGCCGATCAAGCCTGAATGATCTTGTCTGTAATGGGTCCAAACAAACACAAAGTAAAACGCAAAGGAAGGCAGAAATGATAATACTTACGGCTAAACCAGTCAGACTGTTATAAGATTTTAAACAAGTCTCAATATTGCGCATTTGTGATGCGTTACTGGCCAGGCAGACAACAGGCCTGGGCCCAGCATCCTCTCATTAGGATCCACGCAGTTCATTAAGATCTGCAGGTTCGTGCGTCATGCGTAAAAGTGATCAAAACTACATTTACTTGGGAGTAGTATTATTAAAGTTAAAAGTCATTTCAAGTGGACATCAGTCTTGATCATATTTGTGTTTTTATCAAAACTGGCAACAGTTGCTTAAACTCTTAATCTTGGCTTAAAAATCGCTGACATCAGACATTATCATGTTCAAACAGCAGTTCCTGCCTCTATGCACCTTTAAACAAATGTGTTTTACTATTATCCAACATAATAACAAAAACACTGTTTTTGCAAGAATATAAAATGATTTTTTTTTAGACCCTAGAAGAATGTTGCAGAATGGATTCATAATAAATGAGAATGTGTGTCTGTAGGGGTGAAAGAAAAGCAGAAAGAGACATCTTTTCATCAGATGAGTAAAGCTACATATGCCCTATTGTCCTCCTAAAAATACAGTAAAAAGAAATAAAGAAAATCTTTAAGTCTCTGGGGCACACTTAATGCCAGTACAGAACAAGTTGCACATTCATGCGGTGTGGGCGCTCCTGCAGTCTTGCCAAGGTTTTCCACAAAAAGGGTCCAGCCAGAAGAAAGTGAAACATGTCCTTGAGGAGTGTAAAGTCAGGATGTTGTGTTGTATTGTGTTTATGTGTGACAGCATGGTTTAAAAGGTCACCAAACATGGCTATTTTGCATTTGTATTATGTTTGGTCAGATAAGAATCACAACACTTTCTTCCATTAATATTTAACTGAGGGTTTTGATGCAAAAGTTTGAAATCTTTACTTCGTATTCAGTTTTTAGATTTTGTTGAGTTTACTGTTAGACAGATAACCACCTGAAAAGAACAAAGAAAAGTGTGGTGACATCTGTTCTGGTACCAAAATTGACAAATGAATAGTTAAAAATAATCATGATATGCATATTGTTAAGGTTCTCTTTAATTGTGAAAAAAAAACTATAGATTGGTCCCATTTCTGGCCCCACACAAAATAAAGTAGTTTAGTTAATCTAATTTAACAGTCAAAGGCGCACAGAAAAGAGGTTCTGCTTTACCAGCCACAATTTAACTACAGATTATTTTAATTTAGCTGTGCAGCAGCTTCTTGGTAATTCTCATTTTTTGTTTTTAATCAAATCAACAGTTATTGTTTCCCTGTTCACACACCGGACATCAGACATGAAATTGCAATCTCTTATACATTTATACCTTCTCTTAGTCAATTTGATAGGGGCTTCTGTCTATAATACTTGTGCTGCACAAGTGAGCACTTGTTGGGAATGTTTCTGGCACTGCAGAAAGCATGCATTGTTGTCTCAACACTTGCAATCCCTTTGGATCTTTTTCTCTGTTCAATATTCAGTTTCACGTCTTGCAGTGGCACCCTGAAGACATTTCCACGCGGACTCATCTCTAGCAAAGACATTGTGTATTTTATTGATATTACAATTAGTCCTGCTGTGTTTGAAACTTGAGCAGAAGTGAAACTGTAAGTTTGTGCGTCATGCGTAAAAACGATCAAAATGATATTTGTTTGGAAATATTATAAGCTCAAATATATTCCAACTGACATCAGTCTTGAGCACATTTGTATTATATTGAAACTGGTAGTAACTTCTTAGACTCTTTAGCTTGTTGTACAAAGTTACTGACATCTCCAAACAGCAGTCAAATAGCTTTTCATGTGGCTTCTGCAGCAGAGGACAAGCAAAAAGAGAATTCCTTGAATAAGTACAAAAAACAAATACAAAACAAAACAACAAAAATGAATCAAATAATCACACTATTGCTGAAGTGTTTTTTAATTTCCAAAACACTTATAATACAAAACAGGTTCAATTCATAGGAGTGTTGGTTTACATCACACATAAGCTTTAGTTAAGTAAAATGTATTGCACTGTAATATCGTAATTTTGCACTTTAAAATTTAGTCATCTAAAAATTATGATGACATAATAAAGGAATGTTCTCAAATAATAAGTAGCAGACACTTTAACCTATAAATTATACCATAATGTAGTGTGGTGGTCTCAGTGTATAAACTAGGCATTTTGCACTGGTACACAGCTGAATCTATTGGTCTCATCCCGTCTGATGGCTCCCTCTGCTGCTAGAGAAACCTCTGACAGGCTGTAAAGCCTCTTCATGGTGTAAAACCGCCTTTAATTAAGATGAAATTCATGCTAAAAATACAAAAACAAATCAGACAGTTAGTGTTTAATCTGTAAAGCCTGTACATCCTATCACCCTGTTTATTTCATATCTGGGATTAAGGAGGAGCTGGTGAGGATTTGTGTGCAGTAGAAGGCAGTGATAGAGTTTTCCTTTAAAACAACCTCTGCTGTGAGCCTTACGTCTACTTCAGTTGTTGTATTACAGGGTAAAGCTTATCTCCTGGACATTCTGTCTCTCCTAGATCTTTGTGTCCAACCAGGTCAAACTTTGGTTCTAAGAAGGCCTGGGAAACTCCATCCTGCAGCAGCTTTTTGACTGCTTGTATTGCTTTTTCGCTTGGAGTTTCATCTGAAATCAAAAGAGGTAGCATTATCAATATATGCAGTATCTTGTATCTCCAATGTATATCATTGACTTAACAACTGCAGCTTTTCACCCTGCTTTTATGCTCTTATTGTTGCTGCAACATACAAAAAGATTGCTTACCATTGAAATTGCCCATGAAGGCAATTCCCAGGGAGTCACTGTTGTTGCCTTTGGCATGTGCCCCGACTACACCCCAGCCACGCCCTTCAAACACAGTGCCTTCTCCTCCAACAAGAAAACTAAAACATACAGAAACAACTTTTGGTTGAGTGTAATATAATATCACAAGTGAAGAAATGTGTCCACTTTGTACACTCAAAACTGCAAACTCCAAAATGGCATTTGTTAACAATCATGGAATAACAGAGGCTACTCACTTATATCCAATGTCATCGAAGCCTCTGTCTTTCATATGCACTCTCTGAATGCTGACAAGTTGGCGCTTACACTCTCTCAGATCTGTGCAGCTCGACACGGCGGTGTGGTGTATAACAACTCTCCTGGCAGGACTTTTTAAAGTCTCCTTTTCTTTAGGATCCGCTGCTCTCCACTGCTGCCGTGAAACAATGTCCACTGCAAAGAATATTTAACATTACAAACTGGCATATGTCATATTTGAAAGTGTAATTATTGACGAATAATATGTGCAAAGCTGTTTGTTTTCATACCTTTATGGTCCATATCTCCGCACACTCAGAGCTTGCTGTCTGTGATGACTGACCAGCAGCAGACTGTGCAGCTCCCCTTATCAATGATTCAGTTTCAGGAGGCGTGGTCATGGGAAGTACACCTTCCTTGTTCTTTGTTGGTTCATGTGATGGCATGTCACCTTAATCAGTACACAAACAATTTTCCAACTGGTCTTGCTGACAAAGTAATTCTCTACAATTACCCAACTCACTGTCTGGAATATACATGTCTAAAAAAGGAGGAAGTGCATACCAATGCTTCCAGAAAATTGCGTAGAGAAAAGCAGTGGAAGTTTCTGCCACACAGATCAGGCATGGCTACTTCAGAGTGATGCTAAAGTCGTAGCAGTTTAAAGAGAAAATAAGGAGCACCTGCTTTGCTATATCAAGTGTTTGCTTTTTTTTAGGAGGAGGAAATAAGACAACAAGTAGTGTCACCTTCACCTATGAATGAAAAGTCTGAAAACTGAAGGGGTCAATTTACTGTCCATCCTGCCAGAAGCTTCAGTGAATGATTACAAAAGTAACTGTACATGTACTATTTTAATTGCTTGGTTTTCTGAATGGAATTGTAGAATTAAAAAGAACAGTATTTGAGCTGCAGCATATATTCTTTAAACTGCAAAATGAGATGCAAATGTTAAGCCTTCTTGACATTATCAGCGGACCATCTGTGCCTGCAGCGAGGAGCTGTGCAAACAAAGATTTGATTTTATGTGCTATGTAGAGAGGGTAGCTGAGATTTTGTGTCTGTATTTTGGCCTCAGATGGAGCTTGCAACACTGCAGCTGCTGAGGTAGAATGCAACTGGATGAAAGTAGAAAGTTGCACAGGACTGTTGATGTTCAATAATGAGTGAAAAGGCATGAAGCAGAACAGAGAGAATATCTTAGATAAAATATATAAAGTTACAAGACCTATATCACAACCTTAGCCTTCACAGTGTGATATTGGAAGGAAGCGACCTCACTATGACCACATCGGGGAAGTAAATGCTGGAAACACAAGTTTAGAAATTACACCAAACTGCAAACGCAAATAATTTCACAATAAGTTACATTCCAAAAAGAGTATAGTGGGCTTTCAACATAACCTCAAGATTGATTTTTCTGTATATATTTGACAATTGCAGATTTTGCATAACCACTGGAATATCTGTGGTGTCAAAGAACTCACATTAAATTTTATTTACCCATGACAGTGTTCTAAGACAGTTTGGCACACACTTAAATGGCATTTTAAAGCGTGATGTGATTATAATCACAGTGCAGAGGCGTAGCCACAAAAGATATGATCATGTCCCTGTTATATATTTACTTGAATATGCTTTAATTATTTATTTATTCTTGTCTATTCAAGTTGAGAACATCTGCACCCAGGTGAGTCATCTCACTGAGTGAATCATCATCAGTTCCATAATACAGTGGTTCACTAATTTCACACATCAAAACAGAGACCAGTTTTGGGGAGTTCTATTAAATGTGGGAAAAAAGTTACACAAAGAAAGACGATTGTATCCAGAGGGTGTGTTCTACTTATAATTGGTTAGTAGGTGTGTTTGTGTAGATGGAGAAGTCTTAAGTCTGCCTATGTAGTCTTGTGTCAGTTACTGTGAAAGTATGGCGTACCGAAGAAGAAAGGAATGTTAATTTTTTTTTTACTTAGGTTTAAAGACTCTGATAAAAATCATGTTTTTAATATGATATTCATTATGTGCATGAAGACACCCTATGAGTGAAAAAAGCAGTGTGCTAATGACAGCCTCAAAAACACAGATTCAGACTTCAGGCATAACAAACCGAGGAACTAATTCTGTCAACTAGCAGGGTGGCACTCTCGGTATCGTTATTCTTGTTCAGTGTAGGTTTCCATTTTAAATATGTATGGCTGAATTACTGCAATATTACAGCTTGCCATTGTGTAGCATACATTACTTTAACAGTGTTTGATCGGAGTCATGGACTTCATAGTTCCATGCATTCTGGGGGAAGCAACAGTGTTCAGTTCCAGCTGTGCCATTTTAAAGTAGGGATTATTTTCATGAACGAAATATGCAGGAATATAAATTTGTAGGAGTTTAATCAATCATCTTAAAATCATGAGGTTTTCTGTTTCTTCACTAAAATATCTATGGTAGTAAGGGAAATAAGGATATCTAGACCGCAACTTAAAGTCCAGAGGAGATTTCATGAAATAATAGTTATTAAATAATATACAAATATATTCATAAAATGTATGAAGAGCTTATTGAAGCTGATAACTCTCTTGGATTTGACACTTTCATTGTTCCTGACATACATAGATAACCTTATTCTCACATAATTTCTCTTCATATTAGGACTGTATTCTGGAGTTATATTTATGCATTATTTAGTCCAAATGTTACCTTTATAATTAAAAAAAAAAAAAGCAACAACAAAAAAAGCACTCGCTCTCATGAGAAAGTTTAGCTGCTTTCATTGTCAGACAGACAAAATCACCTTGTTCTTGGCCCTTGCTGTGGAAGACACCCTTCTATTTAGTCTTACTTAAGCAGACGCGTCAAGCATAAACCAGCCTTACTCTTAGTTATTTTTTTTCTTGTGTTATTCCATATCATACTCAGTGGAGGACAGCTAAATAACTTGCAGGTAAAAGTTATAGCTGTGAGGTGGACCAGGCTATCTTCTATTTGTTTTTCCAGATCTCATCATTCAGTTTAAAAAGTATTTGCTGAATAAAACATTTCAGTAAAGACTCAAGAGATGTTTTAAAAAAACGGATTCTTTTAATCTAAAAATACACATTTGACAATGACAACTGCTAAAAAAAACAAAACAAAAAAAACCTATTATATATTCACAAAAAATTACAGATATGAGTCACCATACAAAGATAGTTGAGGAGTCGGCAGTGCTGTTGTTTAAAAACGCCAACTGCCCTCTTGCGCACTCATTCTGCTCACAGCTCACAATGTGTTTGTGTCCTGTATTACTGGCATGGCTACAGTTGAGTTGAGCTGCAGCTAGCAATATTTATTGTGAACAGCAACACTGTAGATGCAAATGCTAGAACTCTTTTATTTATTTAGCTTTTAATCATCACCAGCTTTTACTCTGTCCACCGGTGTCCACAGTGAGGAGCCGTGCACACGTAGTATAGTCGCATAGCATCCTGTGCAAAACAGAACACAACATGAGACACAAAACATTGGATTTGTAGCTTTCCTTAAGTAATTAATTCTTCAATCTGAACACAACATGTCTGCAATAGGGAGGCAACGACAATGTATTTGCTTTATCACTGTCAGTCACAACTGTATAAAATGTCAAACAGATAACGAGAAAAGGAGTCCCAACTTTGTACAATCCAAGTGAAGTATTTAAGTGACTTATTGTGTTTTACTAACAGGCCATACATCAAACATGGTTGGTTTAATATTAAACACGACAAAACAGCAAATCCTGCCTTCTGAAAAGTCTGAGTCTCAGGATATGTAGAAGTTTTTACAGATAAATACTAAAACAATAAATGAATTATCAAACAGTTGCAGATTGTCAATTAAATCAACTGTTAGGACATTTCTTCACTGATGCTGACAGCTGTGTGTGAGGGATAGTTTTCATCTCTGCTTTTGACGTTTCTGTTGAGTGTAGTTTTCATAAAACCAGGTTGTAGCAGCTTCGCTTTTTTTCATTTGGGCCAAAAATGGTTTCATTTCATAATATTGTACACCACTGTTAGTGTTCTATTATGGTTTTATGCTGACCACAGAACCTTGTAAATAGATTAATAAAAGTATTAATTGGAAGACAATTTAAGACTAAAGGCCACATATGCAGTATTTTATTAACAACAATCATTACCTCAGCCTTACTCTAATAGATTAATTGAAGCAACTGGACTTGCTTAAGTTCCTTGAAGACGTTTCACCTCTCATTCAAGAGGCTTCATCAGTTCTGACTGACTACTTGGGAGTTCCAGATACTTAAATCCTAAAGGAGTCATTAACACCTGAGTTTTGGTTTCAGTTGGGGGTTTGTTGCTCTTCCCCCTCGTTATGTGGGTCGTTAGTGCTCCCCCTGCCACATTGGGGTTCGTTAGGATCTTTTGTGACTAGGTGTGAATGTGGTTTCATCTTCCTGGAGAGAGATCTTAGGACTGAATTGTAAACAGGTGAGAGGTGATGCCTCAGACCTCCACCTCTGTTGAGGTCTTGAACTGGTCTTTCCAGTTTGACATAGATGGATTCTTTCACCCCTCTCTCCAACCATCTGTCCTCCCTGGCCAAAATCTGTACATTCCTCAAGCGAGTCCAATTGCTACGATTAATCTATGAGAGTAACCATGACCTGGATGACTGAGAATCTTCACACACATACCTCAGCCTTCATACTGTGAGACTGGAAGAACACTGCCTCCTTGTGACCGCATCTGAGAAGAGACACGTGCAAGCACAATTTTAGGAAATAGTTTTAAAATCACAATCACTAAATAAACGCTGCTCAAAAATACACACACATAAAGAGTTTATAAATAAAAACAACAATTGGGCGTGTGCATAGATAATAAGTGAAGTCAACATCATATGATTAAACTTACTTGGGACAGGGGTGGTCCTCTGTTCTTGGCAGTGTTGGATCCTGAGATACATCAGCGATGATTTGTGTCAGTTCACTGGAGAAAAATTAAAGTAAAATGGTTGAGGGCTTATTAATGATCTTTGTCCTTAAATGACTGACAATGCATACATATGCACGCTAATATTCTAGTATTGTGGGCAATACAAATTGTGAAGTATTGCAAATGCTTTCCACAAAGTGTAGAAAGTTTAGTTTACACAGTTTGAACGTGCATGTTTAAATATGGAGGCTGATTTTTGGGAGTTCTATTAAATGTCAGTATTATTTTAGGAAAAAGCATACATAATGCATTTAATTTTACATGTCAATGACCATTTGGTTGTTATAAAAAGTGCTGTAGTGGTTGACTTGCAAGCTGTTTACATAATAATATGGGGATTAATGTGCAGTCAAAACAACAGAGAGAGAACTGAGATCGACAAGTGGGCGGTGGTATGCTACTCCAGGTTCAGTGGTGTATGCCCATTCTGGAGTGGTATATTGCTTGTGCTCTATTGAAACACAATTATTTCCAGTGGCGGGAGTCGTTTGATATTAATTGGCTACTCTTGGCTGGTGATCAGACCGTCTTGTCAGTAACATCTAATACGTGATATACACATTTAAAGCCAATGATCTAACTTCATGACAAGTATATTTATTGTTTATATTTTTGACAGGATTAAAAATATGATATACAAAAATTAGCTTGAATAATGAGCAATACACTTTTCTGGTCATTTTACAGTTACAGCAGATACATATTTTTTAAACATCTGATCAGAAAGAAATTGTGTACATGATTGTCAATGCTTGTATTTGATCAAGTCTTGTGCCCCTATTATCCCTCATAGAGAAATGGCTCGTATCAGTGTATAACTACATTGATAAACAGTATGCTGCAGGATCTAGAGTTGAGTGAGACATAGAATGAGACTGGTTGCGGGCTCATTAGAAGCATTTGTGGTAAATAATAAAATAAAATGTTTCTAATCTTTATTATCAAATGTACAGTGGCATTCTAGAAATTTAAACACATGTGCAACTCATAGAGTGCAACTGTTTAGCCGATTAATTCTCATTAATTAAACAATCTGACAAGGTAGCTAGGCTTAGCACAGCTATGTTAGCTGAAGCTAACTCAAATATAAGCACCTGCTCTATTGACAAGCATATTAGAAATTGCTTTACATCTTTACATCCAAACGCTACAAGAGCATGGAGCTAAGCAACAGGGAGGACCACAATAGTTTAAAGCGCATTTTCTTGCACTATACTGTAGGGCTGGATTCGAATATTCTAATATCCGAATATTCGGTCGTTGTGGTGGTATCTGGATAGCAATTTTGATATCCGAATATTCGCCCGCCACCAGCCTCTACACCCACCCACCCACTCCCGGTCGGACCGGATATTAGTCATTAAATGGGCCGAATATCCGGAGACCAGAAATTGCTATTTGGACCAGCCCTACTATATTGTCAATAAAGGTAGCAGCAAAAGTATACACTCATGACAGTGCTTATCATAAAGTTAAGTCATTTGGATCAAATGTACATATCTTGTATTAGGTGGTATTCATGTGACAGTTTGATCACCAGCCAGGAGTGGCTAACCAATATGAAGCAGTTCCTGCAATAGTGGGTCAATAAAATACAAGCAGCGGCAAACCACTGTAAAACTGGCATATAGCACTGCACCAGACGAGGCTTACCATCGGCCACTTTTCAATCTTAGCATCTCTCAGAAACAGCATAAGAACTTAATAGGCAATTTCAGGAGATAAACATCATTAAAGTTTATGTGGCTCTGTGATTACTTACTCAACCTCGTGGGTGATCTTATTGACATAGATGCAGCTGTTGTCTGCCTCTTGCTGGTAGTCACAGTTCCTGCACTGTAGGTTGGAATAAAGTCAAAGACACATTTTGATTTAAAAAAAAGCAGGGTATTTAGCAAAATTATTACAGACACACAGTTAAATTGTTAACACACTATCTACCTGTCACAACAACCAACCCACATGCTTTTTTCTCACGTCTAAAAGATTTAACAAAAACAATTATCACATGAGGTTTTACCCTGTCCATGGGCACATGGTACATCAATGTAACAACAGGCAAGTTTTGAATGCATTTTGAAATCCATCTTTGCAATCACTCACACTCTTTGCACTTTATGTAAACTACAAGCTAATTCTTCTAATTGACTCATATCAACACATGGGCTAAATTGCTCTTTATGATTTCAACACTGTCATTTCTAATCATTTTCATCCTTCAAAGGATTCATTGATTTTTCATGTTCTGTAGATGTTTTTGGAAGATTGCAGATATACCTCATGGTTCAGACATTACCAGCAAATTAACTTAAAAACCACAGGGGTGGAGAATGAATCAAGTTGGACATAACTAGTGTTTAATTTATTTTGCATTAGCTTGTTCAACAAAACCTAAATCCCAAATCACAGATGGGTATTGTGATGGTGCACTTTCGCTTCTTTGTCAACCCAGATATTCTTTATCAGGTTTTCTACGCTGTGTCCCCATAAAAGAAGGCGTCTGATTCATCATTTGACGGTTCTAATGCACACAATGAACATATGCCATGCCTCCTACTTCAGCCAAGAGAAACAGGCAGCTATAATGATGACCTATTAAGAAATATGTATTTTGACAAAAAGCACTGTTATTGCAAATGAGGCCATAGAGGCTGGTAGAAAATTGTGTATAAATGAATATACATTTTACCATTCAGTGCACTGTCAATGTTGTATGAGAGCTGCACATTAGAGCTTTTGAACTTTAAATTTTAGAGATTAAGACAATGTCCCATAATAAAGGATTCCTGGAAATCACTTTAGTTTTGGCCATATCAAAGTGAAAATACATTTAATGATTAAACAACCGCTTTCATAAACACCAATTGACAAATCAAACTTCCAATCTATGTTCTGTTAGCGGTTAGGTGGGAAGAGACTTCACAGATCTGTGCTTACCAGAGGAAGCAACAGTGTAGTGTTGCATTTAGCCATTTTAATAACACTTATAAAACTTAACTTGGGTATACAAAGATATGATTTCAAATAGTTTAATTAGTTATCAGAGCTGGACATCGGACACACCTCGCTAACACATTAACCTGTTTGGATAGTGCACCCCTCAGTTAAATGTTGTGACCTGAATACATGCTCGCTGACAGAAGAGGGACACAAACTGCGGCTAACTTACAACTTGATACTTACAGCATAGAGCAGGATGCGGTTCTCCTTGTCTTCTTTAGGATATAACATGTTATTACTGGAAAAACAAAGTGGACATGTTTAATTGGGTTTAAATATTGTTTAAGTAATTATTTAGTAAGACAGCGTTACGATAACATGTGTGTAACTTATCTTTAACACGCAGCTAGCAAGCTAGGTTAACGTATCTAACCTGTATACGGCCAAAGACTCACCATTCTTGACAAAACCGTATCCCAACAAATCCTGGCTCGTAGGTTCCGCCATCCAAATCCATTGGAAAAGATATTTGTTGAAGACAAAACTGACAAATACAAGAAACGTTGTTCTCACTTACTTTGTACCGGCGCTAAAGCTCCCGTCCGTTTGAAAACAGACCAGCTGCGGCTGCGTGAACGATCACGGAAGTGATAGATTGTATGACAGCGCCTCCCAGCGGTTGGAGGACAGATAAGATAAGATAAGATATGCCTTTGTTTATCTCAGAGTGGAGAAATTCACGTTGTTGGTAGCAGCAGAGATACACATATACGAGAGAAAAAAGTAAAAAATGTACATATAAATATAAGAAATAGTGCAAACAAAGAGAATAGACAGAGGACAGAACAAACACTGACGCGCACTTAATTCTGAGCATTACTTCCGTTGTACATCAACTTATTATATTTGGCATGCTGCAAATACAAAGTTATTATTATTGATGCAAAAATAGGAGGTTTTAATTTTTTATTTGTTTTATTCTGTCAGAAAGCAACATACATAGTTTCACATTTATCATGGAAACACCATGGAAACCCAACAAAAGCACACCGATTGAAACCAATACATTATTACCTAACCTAAAATAATAATCATGTCATTTGATGTACGCTGATGGGTTCATGAGACTGACTGTCATTAACCCAAGCGAAACCCAGTAAATACAGTGTCATTATCTTCAGTTGCAAAGATATCATTTTTGCCTGGACCCATGATATTCACCCAGACATCATCATCTTTAGACAGTTTGACCACGCTGCTGGTACTGGCCACTTGGCTACATTTGTCAGGCAAAGAGGTGTGGTACAAACTTGCCACTATCTCTCCATTCTTGTATATAGCACACTGTCCACGGCCATACACAGACGCATGCACAGTGAAGTAATAGAGACCATCCACGGGGCAGTTGAAGATGCCTGTTTCAGGATTGTAGCCACCTCCCTCGTTGACCAGCACAATGCGAAACTTGAGGACTCCAGAGTGACAGGGGTAGCTGTCATCAATGTCTAGCTTGGCTGTGAAGGCTACAGTGCCTAGAGTGGAGGACACCATGATAATTAGAGTAAAGAGCTTTTTTTGTGTTTGTCGCAACAAGCTGAGAAAATATTCATGATTTCACTGTCAATTCTTTGTGTACCGTAAAGGGTTATATGAACATTAATGATGTGGAAACAGGGATGAATATTAAATTTCATTTCTTGAAAATGCACATTACTCTCCAGCGTGATTTCTTTCTTCCTCCTCGATTACAAACTAAACTGCAAAATCCTTCAAGGCATTTCACTTTGTGTTACAAACTGATTAGTACAATTCATTTTGCTATTACTCACTAGCCGGGCACAACAATTGAAAATGTTTTACACTTATTCAAATCTCAACATTGTTAATGGAACACTATTCAAATAACCACCGTTAAATGAATTCTGCAACCAAAGTTTAAGCATCAATAGCCGAAATTTTGCAAATATACCACATTATTGCATTATTATTCATCCCTTACACATTTTCAAGTATGTTTCCTGTTAAGAGGCAGAATGAGGTGGGAGCTGATGTAGCATAGTGACAAATGATTCTTTTCAGTAATGACAGCTGTTCATTTTACAGAGTTCCTTATCGTAGATTGCAGTACAGTGAACGATGAAAGCACCCGTTGGCATTATTCATAATGTACAGTGTGTCAGCCTCTTTCCTTTTTAAAAAGCATGTCAGTAAAATGTTGGCAAACAATGTTATGGAGAATCACAGTGGAGTTTGTCTGTTACCTGATGGAGGAGAGCTGTCTCCACGTCCTGGGACATAAGCCATGACTTCAGCTTCGGATGCCGTTGTGCAAGTCTGTTAACTACATTTAAAAAAAAAAAAAAAAAAAAAAAAAAAAGGTGCAATAATTTGGTAGTTTTAATAATGTCTGTAAGCAGTGATGCTGTAGACTCGATAAACATGACAAATGTAATATACAAAATTACATGAGTACACGTTTACACCAAATAATGTACCTTTACCTGCATTGTTCTGCATTATTCTAATCAATGCAAAAACAATTACACTCTGATGCAAAGTCTTTGAAGTATAGTTTGCACATTCTTCACAAATATTTGTGGTTATTCTGGCATTAAAAAAAAAACAAAAACACATTTAACAATGGAACAAAGAACTTCTTACCTACTCCTGCAGGAGAATGCCACAAATGTCACAAAGACAAGTACAGACACAGACTGAAGCTGTCCATCTGGTTTGCTTGTAAAACCTGTTCGTTCAACTTGAAAGTATCCCCTCCAAAGCATTAAATAAAAAAAAAAAACAAAGTATTAAATCACAAGAAAGATTTTTACTTAAATAAGGTCTTTGTGTAAATGTTTGGTTTTTAAAATTAAAGGTCATTCATGTCTAAATTGTGATATAACGGGAGATTGAAATCTGAGGTTAAAGTTCAAATGAAAAAAAGGTATTGAACAGCTATAATAAAACAAATGTTAGCGAACTATATATATGAACAACCTGCACTGTATAACCGTATGACAATGACAGCAGGGCAACACAGCAGACCATCTTTCATTAAAACACCAAAGAGCAATTTTCAGCTAACACCACATTTTGTGCCCTAACTTTACATGAAACTGCACCTATTGAACCAGTCACATGTTCTAGTTTTGCAGGACAATGTATATCAACATTATGCTAAAATACAGACAATTTTATTGTATCAGTTTAATAATTCATGCTTAAAATTGTATTTAATTTCAGACAATTGACATAAGTGTAGCCGTTGAAACAACCATAAGTCCGATGTAAAATAGCAAAAGCTTTGTCTTAAATAAAACACAGTGAAGCTTCTCATCATCAATATCCTCTGCTAACAGAGATTTTATGTTGAGATTGACCTATAAATCAACTGAGATGTTGTGTGGATAAATTTAGGCACTTGGCTGCTGCAGAAGTGTTGTGCATTTTTTTTTTTTTTTTTAACCATCAGCTAAAAAAAGGAAGAAACAAGTTGTTTATCTGGTTTGTGTGTCACGGTTTAGTGTCACGTAATGGTGCAACATGTTAAAGATTGTGCAAAGATTCAGATTCTAAAGATAAACAGTTTCTTTCACAACTTTCCAAGCCAGACTGACTGCTTTTCATGCAGTTTTTAAAGAAATTTTAGGTAACAACATAAATTAAATATTGCAGTGAGTTTGAAATTGAAAAATTTCCGCAATGAGGAATGCAGGGAGTGGTATTAGTGCTGGCTCACAACTCAACAGAGTGACAGCTGCACGACATGGTTGCATTTTTTAAAAGTTTTTTCCCCCCCCAGTATTATTTTCAGTGTTTCTAAATAGCCTACACTAACCTAGAAAAAAGCAGGTGTTCAAAAACAGGCATTGCTGGTTTTCTGTCATAAAAAGCATAAAGTTCATCAGCTGATTGGTTTGCATTCTGCAGGCTTGTAAACGGCACTTATACAGTGCTTTTATTTAAAGCACTTTACAATGTGGAAAGCGCTTTGAATAAAAGTGCTATATAAGTGCCATTTACAAGCCTACAGAATGCAAACCAATGAGGTTGTGGTGGCTTGTGGTGGAGAATACATACAAGAACCAGGCCACATGGAAAATGGTTCAAGAGATGTTGTGCAAGTTACGTACTGTGTATATACTGACAACATGCACCATGAAAAAAACAGATATATGACAATCATTTTGTGTGAAAGTTGTATTTCCCTTGAGTCCCAGAGTCTGTGATACACTGATACATACCAAACTGCTGTGAGTAAATTCATAAACATGATATCTCTTCAAAAACCCATGATTTCAAAATTGCAAGTAGAAAAGTAAACATACAGAAATTACAGCTAAAAACATCAGCGACTGTGTAAGAATTTATCTCTTACATTCTTTTGTCTCTTTGCCTTGTTGTTGTCAGATCAGTTACACAGTAAATTAACGCTGCAAGCAGCGATGGACTGGTCATCGACGCTTGCCCGTCGGGGCAGCGAGCGTGGCAGGGTGTGGTGGAAATGTGCTCTGCCTGGGACTGGGATCAAACATGTAAACTTTCAGACAGATCAGAGCTCATGCAGGCCAATTAGGAAACACTTCCTGCTTTAAGGCGAATCGTCAAAATTCCTGGGGCCACCATTTCCAAGCCCTTGAACTTTTGCAGAGTGTTTTGCTAATTTTTAATCATCAAGCCCCGTTGTATGTTCTGGCCAAATTTGATGTCTGTGGGACTTTATACCAAGGAGGAGATAGATTTTGAAAATGGATAAAAATGAACAAAAATTGCCAAAAATCTCGTTATTTATTCAAAATAGCAGACTTCCTGTTGAGTTTAGGGTCTGGGCTTCTGGACCCTTTGTGCGTCCCAACGTGATCCATAAGACTAACAAGTTTTGTAGGTCTAGGCGAAATATACTTCCGGCAGGACTAAATCAAAATTTTCTACAGGGTGCTATGGAGCCATTTTGCCAACTACATACCCAAGTCCCCTAAAATATCAAATTTGTCACCAGTTTGGATGTGTGTGTAAGTTTTGGTGAGCTTTTGAGCATGTCTAGGCCCAATAAAAAGCATTTGTTTTGTCTGGAAAATAATTTTAAGAATCAGAGGAATCCAATAGGTTCCTTGCATTTTCAGTGCTCGGACCCTAATTATTATTAATGCATCGTCACACCACTTTGTAAACACATTTCAGAAGCAAATACAATTTCTCTATCTCATCTATTTTGTTGCAATGACTACATGTGGTATAAGGACATGTTGACAATGTCTCTATACCCTAAATAAAAGCCAACAAAGCTGGTATCATTGTCTTCTGTTGTGAAGATCTCATGTTAATTATTACCCCATGAATTAACCTAAAATGTGTCTCCTTCAGACAGTTGCATTCTACTGCTTATACTCGTCACTTGGCTGCACTTATCTGGAAGATTTGTGCAATACAGTGAAGCCAAGGGCAGGTGAAGATGCCTGTGTCAAAACTGAGGAGTCTCCAGCATGGCTACAGGTTTTAGCACACCAGAGGGATATGGGATGCTGTGAGTGATAGTTAGCTTGCTGTGAAAGCAACTACTCTTCCTGTAGTGGTGACATGAAGCAGATTAACCATCAGAATGATGAATTTTTTTGTTCTGGCCTGTGCAAATATAAATGCACGCTATATTTTTGTTGAATTCTGCTGTCATTGTAATCACACAGTGAATTTTAGGACTTTTTTACTGTACTTTCTTTAGGCTATCTAAAATATTTGTCAATATGAAAAATGAAATAGTGTATTGTATACAGAAGAAGAAGAAGAAGAAGCTTTATTGTCATTGTACAAAAATACATTGAAATTTTGTTTGGCATCATCTTTGTAGCAGCTAATATGGTCACAGTCTAAGAAAAAAAAAGTTCAAAGGTGATAGAAATAATAACATGGCAATAAAATAAATACTCTATCAAAAGTGCAAAAGAGCATTTGTTAGAATGAGTCCATAAACCGGAAGTGTCATGATTCCTGCAGCAGTCTCCTCACAGCCATGGGGAAAAACCTGTTTGGTACGGGCTCTCATGTATATGTACACTGTTGCCCATAAAGTTGGAATAATTTTGTTTTCAGACTCATTCCTCTTTTTATTTCTATTTATACACATCTAAATACACAGTTTGCAAAAGTTAATTGTGGTTTAATTTTTTACTTTGACATTTATTGTATGCATATTTTGATATCAAAAAAGTTTTTTGAAGATACACACTTTATCAAGAATAAATCGCATTGTCACAATCATTTCATGAGAAGAGGTAAAAAATATTTATTCCAACTTTATGGGCAACAGTTTATGTATATTGTATATTACAGTAACTCGTGGGTTTTGGTGCATCAGCATAACCACTTTTTTGTTTGAAGACAGGCTCTATGATGATTAATGGGAAAACACACTGTTTTAGCAGTAAAGTGTGTTTTTTCAAATACTTTTTAAAAATGTCATTCTTGCTTTGTTTTTATAGTTCATATTCATGCTTTTAAACTACAACCAACAATTTGGTGTGTAAAAAGATGTATAAAGCTTGAAAGCATTTGTAAAGTAACAACAAAAACCAAAACAAAACCTAAAGATATCTGTGTCTTAGAAGTGAATGTGTGGAACATCTGAACACAGGTCTCAATGCCGTACATCTGCCATCATGTGAAACATCACCCTCCTTTCTGGGTTCAGGAAATTACACACTACAACTACATGCAGTGTACACAGCCTGTCTTGTTGAGCTGCCTTTACCTGTCTGTCCACTAGCTGTTGCCTCATCATTTGCTAATTCAGCTGCAGGCAGCAGCAGCTCACAGTTGTCTCTGCAAGGTGAGATAAGATAAAACCTTAGGATCCAAAGGACTCTTTTTTTTGTTGTTGCTGAAGATAGTTCCTTATGACTGTGGTGGCAAGCATTGGATTTCTGAATGAATTTGCGACTGATCAGATGCCTCCCTAATGGATGGATAAGAACATCCATCTAACAGAAACATCTGAAGCGCTTTTGCACAGTATATTACAATTACAATTGTGTAGCAGGTTTTACAAATACACTGTGATGTGCAGGAGCAGAATATAGGAATGCACCAAAAAAAGAATCTATTAAAAAAAAACAAAAAAACCCCCCCCAAAAACATGCTGAGGTTAACTGGTGATTCTAAAATGTCTGTAGGTGTGAATGTGAGTGTGCTTGTCTGTCTCTCTGTGTAGCCCTGTGATAGACTGGTGACCTGTCAAGGGTGTCCCCTACCTTCGGCCTGAGTCAACTGGGATAAGCTTCAGCCCCCCTGCAACCCTAGTGAGGATTAAGTGGTGTATAGATAAT